CCTATGCCAAGGCATCCATAAATTAAGACTTGATTGAAATGGCAAATTATGTCACCTGGAAGAAACGGATGTGTAGTAGATTCAGGACAGGGACTCCCAGCCTGCAGTTTATTAGCTGTTTCTGCCTTTGAAACCTGTAAAGGGATTTTCAACTGAAAGCTGTCCTTGACAGAAAGACGACTGAGCCTAGGGAGGCCAAAGCTGTCAACAAAACACAATCCAGAGGCACCGGTGCTTGAACTCCCCCAATCCCTGGCCCTTCAAACGCTGCAAGGCAGCAAGAAGCCATGCAGAGAAATTGCAGGCTGCCTGTGAAGGAGGTGTAAGCCTCTGTATCAGCATAGAATGTCACACTGCCAAATTAGCTGGGGGCTCAGTTGCACTGGGTTTGCTTTGTACACCTGGAGCTAACTTCACCCTTCACTTTGGAGAAAGTTGCTTCACATGCTACATTATTTCTCATTTTTGAATCCTCAAAAGCAATGTCAAAATTTTAGAATTATGTGGTGGGAGGTATTTTACCAGCTTCATCCAGATCCATGTTGGGCTTTTTTTTCTGCATGAAAAGTACTGAATAAATCTAAGTTGTTGCTGACTGGGGAGTGCAGAGACTGCCTGAAGGCAGTGAACAGATGTGTAGGCTGAGTGAGAAATGATAAGAGAAAACTCAGCTTAGAGTGCTTGGGCTTCATCAGACTTCACATTACTTAGACCATTAACAGAGGAATAGAGAGAAATAAGAACTGAGGAATTTTATATATATAAGGGCTTAACATTCATGCCTGTAATTCTTTTATGTTACCCTTTCAAGGAGGGGATGATGCACTGCTGGCCTCTTGCAGAGCAATGCATTTTTTTTTTTTTTTCGTTAGGCCCATTTAGGATTCAAAGGTACTTTACATGTATTTTTCAGTATCGGCTCTATTTACAATTCTATAGATTCTAGTTCTATTTAAAATTCTACTTTTTTTCCAGCAGCAGGAAATCCTTTGGCTTTTTACACCTGTTCTCAATAATGACCTCTGTGCTTTAAAACAAATGGAATCATTTTTAGGGTTTAATGAGCATTTGCCTTCAACAGCTACAAATAATCTAATCACTTAACCACTGTGCATACTGGATGATTTAAGAATTAAAGACACAATTAGAATCTGTTACAGTAATTAGAATCTATTTTAAACCAATTGCCTGTGGCATTACATGCTCTAGTGAAACAAAGGCTTCTGGCTAAATGCTCTTCTTCCACTAAATGCAAAAGCAAATGTTACCACAATTTACTTTTTTTAAACTGATAAAATCAAGATTTCAGAAGCCAAGTAAATTAAACTATCTGTGCTTTTTTCTGCTGCTTTTTACATGCTTCATATGTCACTGAAGCCAATGGAAGGAAGATCACTGATTGCCTTTGGTTAAAATTTACTGAATATATTTGTGTATTTAGCAAATAAAAGGAAAATTACAAATCTATTGAAAAAAAGTGTAATTAATTGGGTACACTAGAAGCTATAAGCTAGATGAGTTGGGTTCAGGCCTGACAAATCAGCTAGAAGTATTTGCAGGAGTCAGCGAGCAGGTGGATAAGGGTAACCCAGTTGATATAATGTTCCTGGGCTTCCAGAAATCCATGGCAATACTTTCTGTCAAAGGCTGTTTGTGAAAGTAAATCCTAATGGCAATAGAAGAAAGATCCTCTTGTAGAAAAGGAATGGGCTGAAAAACAAGTGGTAGGATTAAATGGTTTGTTTCCATATCGAGAGTGGTAGAAGGCAGCATCTGACAGCCCTGTATATTCATCAGTGCTGTTCAGTTCAGCCTGAGCTGTTTGCATGGTCAGTGGAACTGATTAAATGTGCTGCCCACACACAACTGTTCGCTGTTTCCCCCCTCTTCCTCCCCTAGAAGGAACTTCTGCACAGGGGAACATCTTTCTCTTGCTTTTTACCCTCCATCTCATACTTCACGAGAGTTCACAGGTCACCAGCTGAACTGCAAACTGTAGGAATATAGGGAAGTCAAAGGGTATCTATCTTAGGCTGGAGAGAAAAACTTTGGATCTGAATCTGTAAGTGAGATTGTACCCACACAGGTGCTGTGGAGGGTGTGTTGTGCCCAACACCAGCTCTGCCTGTGCCAGGTATCATAGAATGGTTTGGGTTAGAAAGAACCTTCAAAATAACCTCATTCCAACTCCCCTGCCACAGCTAGGGGAACCTTACACTTGACCAGGTTGCTCAGAGCCCCGTCCAACCTGGCCTTGAGCACTTCCAGGGATGGAGCATCCACAGCTTTTCTGGGCAATCTATGCCAGTTTCTCACCATTCTCACCTCACTCATCCCAGTGAGAATTCTCAACCATAGCTGTGTGAAAATGCCAAGAGTTAAATCACTTATACCCCTGTCACTCTAAGTAACACTGAGAGCCTGGAGACTAGTAAATGATACATGGAGCACCTCTGTGTTCAGAAAGCATTTCTTGTTAGTAAGTGATACAGAAAGCACCTTCAGAAACCTATTTCCTACATATTCTTAGCTGGATGGTGGCAGATCAGGAGGATAAGGGTTGATGACTGACTGACAGCAGGTTGCATGGGTGATCTGGGATCTATCAAGATTCCTTACAATACTGGCATTTCTCTTTATTCTGTTAATATAGCAATATGGCACAGTGCAAATTTAGTCCAGCCTGGAAGTGACTGGCTCATCAGTTTCCTATAGCTTCTTCCTATGTGTTTGCTCTCTTACCTGTCCTCTGGAGCACGTCCCATTTGCCATGGCTTGTTGCCAGGCTGGAAACCAACCAGTCTTCCTTCAGCTGGACCCCCTTGCTTCCATGAGACTAGAAACCAGGTAAGCAGCACTTCACTCCTGCCCACCTGAGTGTGCTTGCCTACATTAACTTGTACCTATTTAACCTTCTCAGTGTTTTGGTGACATGAAATGTGTGAATGAGATGGAGTTAACCTATTACCCTTCCTATTTTCCTGACATCCACTGTTCCTTTACACATGTCCTTATCCAGCTGCAGTAAAGCAGGATTCTGTCCTCTTCACTCACGCCACACTTGAATGGTTTCCAATAAAGTAAGGAGTTGTATTTTTCAGAGTTATATAAATAGGGACCACATTGGTATCACTCGCCATAATAATAACAAGTAACATCTGTGACTCATCTCATCACTGTTAGGAGACAGTTTCTCCAGAGAGCAGAAAAGGTGTTTTTACAATGGATATGTTACTAGTTATTACTGCAAAGAAAAGACATAACTTTTGAAACAAAATATCATGCTATCAAAGAAATAAACCCTCCTCCTACAGCACATAAACTATGTTCTAATAGGGCTAAAATAACACCTTTTTTCTAGATTCCTTTTAATAATGAGCTAATTCAAGTACTCTGTCAGTAAGCCCCCATCTGAGAAAATATACTGAGCAAAGTGGACCACTGGCTTGCTCCTGGAATAGTCATTCTGATCATTCCATGTATTTGTGTTTTAAAAGGACAGTAATTTCACACACAGTAAGCACAAGGCACCACACACAAGTGCAGACACAGTATGCACAATTTTAAGGAATTCTTAACTTATTTATGCTATATATAGAGAAATGCATTGAAAATACTTGCACTTAGCAGTTTCAAAAACTGGAAAAACTGGACAGAGTAGGTAATATGTTTTCAACTGAATTTAAAAAATGTGACTCTAGAAGAGACAAGATATTATTAATTTAATCTAAATGAAGACATGTACATCTGAGTTGCTATAGGCTTCCTTTATAGTTGAGAGGTAGGTATTTTTAGGGTAGAGTTCACCTGGTCTGTGCTAGACATCTACATCTGATCAGTTGAATGCACCCCAGAGCTAGATGCTGTTGAACCTCACCAAGTCTTGGAAAATGCAGGACTGTCCTCCTGTGGAGAGAAGACTCCCACAATTTCTTGCTGTGCAGTATAAGATACAACTATTTTAAATCCTAACAATCCTAGACTGCTTTTTCTCAGACTGTGGGCCAGGATCAAGAGGGAGGTCAGGAGACGATTTTGAGTGCCAGGCTGGCAATATGTTAGGCATCATCTCCTTTCCCTCCTCTGGGAAAAGTGGTAAGGGATCGCTGTTACCACTTGAAATAATTTGTATTAGCTAGGGAAGGAGCTAATTTCCTTTGATTGCTGACAGTTCACATCTCTTCCAGGATGAAAGAGTGAATTTTTCCTGCCTCTGAATAAGTGAGCTGACAATGCTTAAGGGTCTACAAGCACTGAAAGGGAACTGTGTTTTCAAAGAACCTCCACTCCAGCTGTGTGAGGATATTCCTAATGGCATCGGACACCAAACTCTTCCAACTCCAGTGACATAAGACTGCCCTGGAAATGCTGCCACCAGAGGAATAAAAGGTCCGTGCTCCCCTGCCTAGTTTTGAAGTTCTGGGTTTTGCCAGTGCAAAAAGAGATTTGTGTACTAGATCATTCAGAACACCTATTTTGGACTGTAACCCTGAACTGTCCTCTGGAGAGGCTCCTCACTCTCACTGTACACAGTATCTGTTGTCTCCTAAATAGGATGCATAAATTCCCCACCACATACACCAAGAAAGGCAGAGAAGATCTGCCCATGACAAAAATCTCTAAGCAATTACCCAAATAAGAAATTTGGAACAACTGACTTGCATGTAACAAGGCATATATATATTACATATATACTTTTTTCAGTTGATATATTTTTTTCTTTTCAGGTGTTTAGGTAATGATGATTCATCAATATGGGAAATCAACATATTTTTAAACAACTTGAATGCGGTCATGCTATCACTGCTATATATTCTTTCAGTGCTGTTCAGTTCTCCTCCATTTCCCATTGTTGTTGATTTCCATTGCATAATTACTACATAGAAGTGGAAAGCAAAATACTGCAGGCAAAGAATGAAGTTTTAGACTGCAGTATATACATCAAATCCTCTCAAAAGCTGGAAATCTGCAATTACATGCTGAAATGTTGCCTCACTTACCAACTGATATGGTCCAAACAGCAATTATTTTGGCAAAAGCCTTAGTTCTGGAGTTGAAGCGGCTGTGGTGGATGGGATTCCGGATGGCAATGTAGCGATCCAGGGAGATGGCACAGAGGTGCATGATGGATGCTGTGGAGAAGAGCACATCCAAGTAGATCCAAATGGCACAGAGCTTTCTAGGTAGAGGCCACTCGTATCCTGCACAAGAGAAAGTTGGCATCAGCTAAAGATGTGGCATGTATCTCTCGTGACACGTGTCTTAGTGCATATATCCTTCTAAGAGGATAGTAGTAAGTACTAAGTAGTAGTAAGTGATACATTTAGAAGCTGCCTGACACTGTTTTAAGAGAATATTTTCATTTATTTGCAGCCTTCTAACTGTAGCTTTTGGGGTTAACTCTGCTTTTTTCCCAGGATACAGGCAGCATATGTTTTTTTCTTTTTAATTCTATTTGCATAATGCTAGTGCTTGGTGCTGTGATTAAACATTTTTGGCAGCAAATCTATGAAAAGAGAAGCAATTTTGTCATTGTAAAACTGCAAATTCTCAATTTTGCTTTAGGACTTTTTATCCATGTAATTACTGCATTATTAACACCTGCTGATATGCAAAGCTGCCTTAATTCTGAAAGTAAAACTTTGGACTTAATGGAAGCTGAAGAAGAAAAATTATTTTGTTGCATACCAGTGATATTTATCTCACCCTGTCTTTAGGCCTCTACCACATACCTAAATAAGGATATTTCCTCTGTCAATGAATATTGATAGGCTCCTCCAGGGAAAGCAATCCAAAGCAGATGCATTAGTGTTTACCAATATCCAACCTACAGCTTCTTTGCTGCAAATTAAACCCTTACTTTTTCCTTGTTTTTTCCACTACCTATGAAGATTAATTGATTACTTTTCTTTCTCAAAGCTGTTGGGAAATGGCTATCACGGCTTGCCTAGTTTTGTGTTTATTTTTTTGTCTTCCAGTCTAAGAAAAGCCTAGTACTTTATCTTTTTCTTACAGATCATGCTTTTAGAACTTTTTTCCTTTTTTTTTTTTCAGTCCCAAAATGCGTTTAATTTATCTGCATTTTGTATATCATTCAGTGACTAAAACAGGACTTGGTACTCTTGCAAAGGCCTCTTAACTGCTAAGTGAAATGAAAGATTTTTCATGGATCTTGAAGGGAATGTCTTTCCTTTTACAGCCTGGAATGTTAAGTGTCTTTTGTATGAAAATATCATGCTAGTGAAGCACATTTAGCTAATGATACATTTTGACAGCCAGATCTTGTTCAGCATTCTTGAAGGCCGGACAAATTTCACCAGCAGAAGCTGGTTTGCTTCTTCACCTTTGCACTTATCCTCACTGAATGTTGTTTGTTGGTTTCAGAGTTTCTCTTCAGGGGTCCAGATTCTTGTTGATGATTCTCATCCCGTCCCTCTGAGTGCTTGTAACCTCTCCCAGCTTGGTGCTTTTGGAAAGCTGCGTAAGCTTTCACTCCACACACTATACATGTTGTTCAGAGCAGTACTGAGCAGACCCTGGCTAAGCAGAGCCCTGCAGGACCCCCATTCAAAATGCCTTCTATTCCTGCAGGGAACCACTAATAACTCTCCTTGGAGCAAGTTTTGCAGTTATCTTGTAGTGATTTAATTCAGAGCATATTACTCAAGCTGCCCGTGATAGCGTGGCATGGGGCAATGCCAGAGTTCATACTGTGAGACTATGTAAGTATTTTGGGGACTGCCTGTCTCCTTTGGAGATACAGTACAAGATTTGCAACAGCATGAATGGAAGGAGAGGTGGAGGAGGTAGGTCTGTGCATAATTACATTTAGTCTCAGTGGGTACTGAGAGCTATTTCTTGGTGTTCTCGGGTTGCTGTAATACAGTCTGACCCTGACAAGCCATAGAGCATTTATGGATGTATTTTATCATGTTTTCTGGTCTTATGTTGGGAAATCTCGTCCTTGGAGTGTGTTATGTGATTGCTGGCTTTCAGGGGCATGACTTCCCAGTAGCATCTCTCTGTCAGGCCAGGCAAATTTACACAGGGAAAACCATTGAAGTATTTTTACACTTGACAACATACATCTTCTCTTGCTTCAGTGACCTTTGGGAACACATTTGTCATATTCTTCTAGACTTCTTGTCTTTGCAAAAAACCAGGATGGGACAGTCATAAAACAGCATCTCCCAGATAAACATCCTTAGAGACTACAGATTCAAGAAAGTATATGAGAGGAGAAAACTCTGGATGCAATAAGGTGCCCCCTTAGTAAGGGTGTAGATAACATCCTGCAGGAAGTTTTCTGCTCTGTAGTCACTTCCACCTTGGCAGGACTTACTAAGTGCTGCCTTTTCCAGCAGAGTCTGGGGCTGCTGTGTGGATAGAGAACCCTGCACAGCCCAAAGGGTGCAGACTGGCACAGGCACGTTGCTGGTATGCCAGGGCACCCAAACCAGAATTGCTCACAGTAGCTATAAACCCCGCAAGAAAATAATCTCTGAGCAAAGCAATCACCATAGCCCTTCCAGGGGCTGCAAAAGAGGTAGTGGAGCACTCTTGCTCCACAGCCTTGGAGGTGTCCCGGCAGGGCAGATGTGTGCAAAGGCCTCCAGTTTGAGCTCAAGACTCAGCATGGGTGATGTGGCTGAAGTTGAGCAGCTGCGGCCAAGAAAATGCTCCTGTGGAAGGTGAGGTTTCCCTCCATGCCATCACTGATCATCCTGGAGGAGGATGGTGCACCACACCAAGATAGTTCTCCTGGTACCAGCGGGTGCCACCAAATGATGTTTCACCCCAAGTTCAGCTGCTTCCATTCCTGGTCTAGCAAGCGAAGAAGCAGGGAGAGAGGAGGCAAAGCCGAGGCAGCCGCTCCCCGGTGCCTCCGGGCCCGCGGCCCCCGTGTCCCGGGAGCGCAGGGCGGGCGGCGCGGGCTCCGCCGGGACCGGGCTGCGCTTCCCGGCGGGCGGGAGCGGCACCCAGCGCCGCACGCCCACATCCCTCCCGGCGCACGGCGTTCGGCCGTCTCTTCTCTCGGCAGCGGAGCCTGGCCAGCAGGAGTCCCTGTTGCTTGTCGCAGGGAATCACGCAGCACTTAAATCTTGCTCATCGGACAATTCCTGTTTCACCCTGTTTCTCCCGCCAAGGATAATAGCACACTGATGCGGCACATCGCGGTGTTGCACCGTGACTGATGCCAAATGCAGTTTGCAAATGCTGCTGCGGGCTATCTCTGTAGAGATACTGAAAATGGAAAATAAACTTCCAACTTTCTGGATTAAATCTCCTTTAAGCACAGGCTTAGGTTTGGATCTTAAGTCTCAAAGTAGTGAAGTAATAGAACAATCTCACTCTCCTGACAATGTCTAGCTTCTCTTTGAACTCCAGCAATTCAGTAGCATTAGAAGGCTCATTTCTGAAGTTTAGGGACAGTCACAGCCTGACAAAATTATTGCTGAACACAAAGGGTGCTGCTTGTTCTGGCGTGAGCTGTGCTGCAAATTATTTTGGTGAAAATGAGAAGAAAGTTGTGCTATTAATCACCTGCAAGGCCATGAACTGTGAGTCATTATTAACTTAAATAACTTATCTTAAGAAATTATAGTTCTGCATTTGTAAATGTTACTAATGCCCATCCATTTCTTAGCTCCTGCAATATTTATTCCAGCATTTGCTAGTAAATAGATTGTCTAAGCGAGGTATTGGTGATAAGAGAATTATTTACATTTGTATTACTTCATTAAAATAATTGAGAGGGCTGCCTACTTTGAATCTAAAAGTAGTTATTACTGTTTCAGTGCATATTTGCAGAGCAAAGTAACTGGCAGGACCCTTCATTCTCATTGGGAACATGAAAATTATGAGCCAGGGAAAAAAATCTGAAAGCAATAGAAAGAACAAAACATCTTCATATACACTTTGAGACAATTCATCTGACAACTGAGTAATAAGCTGATGTTATGGACTGTGTTTAAAATGCCTGTAGCTGGAAATATAAACTAGGAAAAGATTCAAGTACTTCACCTGTTCCACCCATTAACCAGTGACATATATTTCAATTTATATGGAGTGATAACAATTTTCTGTGGTAAGAGAATGAAATCATAATGAAAACAAGATGTTATTGCATGCAATGTTTAAGGCTTATCAATACATGCAGTAGGTTACCCAGCTGATACTCACCATACAGTATGGTTAACATGGACACAGGCATGACAAGGAAACCCAGCAGCATATCAGCTATTGCAAGTGACATTAGAAAATAGTTAGTGGCATTCTGTAGTTTTTTCTCCAGTGAAACAGCCATGATGACAAGAATGTTTCCAGCAATGGTTAAAACAATCACTATCACTGTCAGCAAAGCCGGCCAGTTTTTCTGTGAAGGGCAGCATGGTGGGCTTGTGTTACTTTCGCATGAAAGGTTGGTTAAGTTGTCAGAGCTCACAGTCAAGTTGCAAAGATGTGATATATTAATTTCTCCAGCTCCATAGACATTTCTGTAGAATCTTCTCTCATTATTTATTTGTATGAAGGAGTTTGCAGTTGGGTTCACAGAGCTCGCTCCATCACAAAGAATATCCATTGCTAAGTCCAAAACCACAGAGATAAATTGTGAAAAACGGGAAATTATCACCCTTTGTCACCATTGGGTATTGTATTCCTCAGCTCTCCGTGTCAGAAGTTGAGGGAGCACAATCTCTTGTCGACTGATTTTTGCCACTAGTGCAATGTAGAAAAACATACCAGAATTACTCCAAAAGCTGAAATGTTTTGTTTTCAGTTCCATAGGAAGTCCAGTGTCGGCATATATTGAAAATCCAGCTGGATAGTAAAACTGGGCTGTAGGAGAGGCTTCAGAGAGCAAAAATGTTGGAGAAATAAAAGACATAAAACTTTTGCAACCACTAGGACTCCCCTCTGGAGCTACATCTTATTGCTATTGGTAACTGTTATCACACAATTTTAAACACAGCAGTATTAAAATATCTTGCCATATTAAACAGCAAAGCTCTTGATTCTCTATCAAGAAACTTGATTAATGATTCCATCCAACATCTTTCTCTTGAAATAATTAAATATGCTTTTATTTATAGTGCAGCTTCCATAATATGGCTGATAGTCTCTGTCTTCTGTTGTATTTCAGAATCATTTTCAGCCTTGTATCAGAGACTACACATTCTGCTTCATGCTGATTTTTGTAGCTAATTGTACCTTTTGGCCCAGCATGGCTTCAGAATGGAAATTAAACAACTAGATACTGTTATAAAAGAATACAATTTAAGGAAGACTTACATTGCACTTCAGAGCCCACTTTCAAAATGCGAATAAATGCACTTGGCACCCTGGTTTACAATATTCTTCGCTGTGTTTAGCCAGTTCCGTGTCTTTTTTTCTTCAGCCTCCTCCACAACGGTGCTGTTTCAAATAGTTTTTTGACTTCTAAACTGCACACTTGAGTGAAGCCAGTTCCTGTGCTGCGAGGCTTGCTCTTTTCTTCTGAGAGATAGGCTGCTCGCCGGCTCTTTCCTTGTGCATTTCCCCGCCCCAGGGCAAGCTATATTTAAAGTAATAATAATATCAGAGCCCTTCTTGAAGTGACACAAAAGAAAGCGCGCACACACACTCACGAGAAAGCAGCCTGCACGGAGGAATTACTGCTTGCAACAGGAATGGAATTTCTCCCTTGCTGCCTTGTTCGGATTGTCAGACCTCCCACTCTCTGGATGTCAGAAACTGTAAGGTAGCGACAGCAGAGGAGGGCAGGGGAGGGCAGAGCAGAGAGGGTCTTTTTGGTAAGCCAACAGCTTTTTCAGTGCTTATTTTAGAGGTTCTCTGCTTGGGGGCTTTTTCAAAACATGTTTTCAATTTGCAGCGGATGCCTCACAAACAGCTGCATGCAATTACGGGGATTTACAGGATGCAGGCTTGAGAGAGACAAAATCTAAGGCTTGCGATGGTAGATACTAGTGAAATATGTGAGAAGTTTTTTCCCTAAAGAGGGGAAATTCCACCAGCCTTAAAAGGCTGGTATATAAGGTATTCAGTCCCCTTCAGTTTTAACTCCAGGTCTGTGCTGACGTATGAATCAAATTGGCAACAGATATTTATAAAAAATTGAAGTCACTCTGATGTCATACTCATTTGTCAGGAGATGGATGTAACAGCTCAGTCCAGCAGCCTGTCCCAAGCAGGCGTCCCAAATGAAGCAGTTCTGTAAAGCAACGTGTGTATAGAGCAAAGGGGAAACAAAACAGTCTGACACTGCTTCTGCTTTATACTTCTGCTGCCAGGACACACATAAAGAAATAGCCAAGTCTTCAACTTTCCACCTAAAAATACTCAGCTCCCAGACTTTCTGAGACTTACAGTTGTCAAAAGTTTGGCTGAATGGGTGTGCTGCTCGCCAGCACATCCTGAAATGTAACTTCCCTCATGCTGAGGGCAATGGCTTTAAACAGGCAGGCTCAGGAAGTTTACAGTGAGATTTCAGAGAGGGGCCAGTGTCACTGGGCACCCGTGGCTCCTGGCAGACCCTTGGGAGCTGCAGGCTGCTCCCATCACTCAGCTCTGTGTGCATCACTGTTAACTGCTACAGATCCCAGGGGACTTCAAGCACATGGAGAATTACTACAGCTCAGCTGACATGGGCTAATCTCTTCATGGACCCAAAAACATACCAAAGTGAGTCTCAGAGCACACACTGATGCCCATTCAGATCAGTAACTGGGGCACAGTTACAGAAAGCCTTTCTCGGTAGTTTTTTAGAGCCAGTTTTACTCACAGGTGAACCCAGAAAGACTGGGCAAATGAGGCAATAGCTTCCACTAATGCCCATGTGGGACTTGGAAATGTGTTATGGCAGTATTTAAGGTTTCCCAGTCCCATAGGTGGGGCCAGAAAACTATCAGACAGCACAAATTGGTAAAAAAGGTGATAAAGATGAGTTTAGCAAGAAATGCGTTAGCCCTGGCAGTCTAACCCAGAAGCCAGAAGAGGAAATTTCCTCTCTCCTTTCATACAATAACCAAATAGGGTACTGTGTTCACCAAGTGAATTTGGCATCCATGCTCCAGAGGATTTGGTGGCCACTCCCATGAATATGAGAGTGCATATCATACAGAGGGTGGGCTCCACTTCTGCTGAATGCAGCTGTGGCAGCAGCTCTCTGGCCACAGAGAGCAGGCACAGACTTTCCCAGGCATTTTCCCAGGGAAAGCTGTGAGAAGATAAGAGAAAAATATGAAAAACAATTCTTATCTCCACTCGCACCTGCTGTTGTGCACATGTAAAATGTGTCATGGAGATTTGTTTACTAAAGGGTGATTTCTTAATTAAACACTAGATAATATTTAGATAGATTGACCAATTAGGTCAAAGCTGTATCAGACTAGCTGTAAGAGTTAATAAGTTTTTTTATAAGTATAGTAAAATATAATATAAGATGATATAATAAAGCAATTGATGAAACCTCTACAATTGTGGAGTCAATACTAATTATTACCCAGCTGAAGGCCTGTGGTGACATGCAGCCACTATGCAGAACAGGGCGCAGCACCTCTTGGCTAGGGCTACATACAACCTTTGTGAGGAGCCCAGGTGTCCTGTTGTTTTCTTAGAAGGCTGGCTCAGGGCTCTGACTGCTGTAGCATAGTAGTCATGGGTGTGTCATGGATGTCACTCCTAAGAGAGAATAGCAACAGGTTTATTGATATAAGCCAGTGATTTTGCCAAGCTTCATGGTAAATGTGGGAAGGGTTTAATAAGATCTGATGACAAGGTGAATTTGATTATTTATGGCATAGAGGACTGGGTCAGATAAGGCAGAGAGGGAGAAAGACTCTCTTGTTGAGTCATGAGGTTCAGGAAAGACCTCCTTGTGTTCTAAGTGCCTCCTCAGAATGGAGTTTATGTGTGCCTAATTCCAAACTTAGACTTGGTCAATGGTTTATATCGCAAGGATTATATGTGCACAATCAATATTTCTGTGTCACTTAGCTAAGATTTCAATAGTTTAGCATGCTATTATTTACTTAATGAGAATCTCTTGAGTCAAGGGATCTCTCAACTCTGAGGAGTAACCTTGAGAGCTACTACTCAAAGCAAAGACCCTGGCAAACAGTCCACTGCCCTGCAGGAGAGATCAATGAGCCCTGGTTGTTCACTATTTATGAAGTAAGATAATTGACTTATAGTCATATTTGCATAACAGCTACAGAAGTTAATTTCCTCCAAACTTGGCCTGAGTTGGACCTTGACAAACAGTATGGTTGGGGGTGTGCAATAACTCATTTAAAACTGCAGCTCTATTCAGGACATCAAAAACATAAAAGTAAAGTGCAAGCCGGCTAACTGTTGCCTTGCCTAAGACCTTTGCCGCTACAGTCATAAGGTCTTCATTAAACGACTGCACTGTTTACTATGGTGTAGCTGTAGACATTTGAGTATCTACCACAGGGTCTGAGTACCTTCTGGAAACTTAGCTTTCCTGACAGAAAGCAATTCGGCACATGTAAAACTGAGGCACAGGCATATTAAAATTTTTTTAGGTTCGCATATGAAGCATTGATAAATCAGAAACCAGCTTTGTGCAGGTTGACATATCAGAAAAAAATCTTTGATCTTATGTCTTCTAGCAAGTGTGTTGGATGTACAACTGATCATGAGTTTACTGTATTATTTATCTCAGGATTTTTATGTTATTTTGACTGCAAAAGTCACTCATCTCACCTCGCCCCAAGAACCTGAAAATTGTTTTCCTTCCATATAGCATCACTGCAGGTATCAAGCAAAGGAAATGTCCAATCTTTGTTTGCAGAGCCCAACAAAAAGAGGGTACCAGGGCTCTCATCCATCTGCAAAACCAAGCGTGAGCTCTACCTTGAGAATTCAGTGTGGAATAACTCCTAGGTGATCAGTCACGTCCAAACCAGCCTTGACCACTGCTTTTCCTAAAGGTGGAAAGCTCTGGAAAACTGTAGGCTCCACTCTCTTCCATTTTAAACAAATGAGCTTGCAAGTCTGTGGCAGCAGAGCCTCTCATGCTGCGACCTGCACTCCCAAGCAGCGCGTCTGCGCTAAAAGCAGGCAGCTGCCGTCTGTCCCAGCCTATGGAAATTAAGTGAAATCTTAGCTTAAAATGGCAATAATGTGGTCTGTGGTAGACAGAAAGCAGTCTCTAGAAACACAGCTGGCATGGGAACAGACTGCACATTGCTTTTTAATTTCTGGAAGGCACCAATGTAACAAATTCATCTCAGCCCCTCCCCTGGTCCCTGGCTCTGCTTGGAAATTTTTTGTAGGACATTATTCTGTTCTCTTCAGTAGGGTTTTTATGCTTGGCATGGTGCACATAAACACTTCCTAGAAATGCTGCTTTTCAACAATTTTCATCTGAAAGAGGAGCAGTTAAAAACCTAGTTTACATAATTCAAATTTGGTGTTCTCAGGATTGTTTCAGGTGTAAAAATCCCCAGTTTCTGAGTTTGCCATTGCTCTCTGATGTTCTGAATAGATTTTGTAATCAGTAAATGTAGTAGTAACTGAGGATGTTAATCAATCACTTTGATTTCTAAAAGTGAGGCAAGTGAAATGTGAATAATTTGTGTTGTTGAGACTACTACAGTTTTGTGTCTCTGTTAGCATTCATCAGGGGCTGTTGGATGTGAATCAGAGGCTAGCTATTACAAATCAGGACTAATTACTAAAAACACTCCTCTCTTTTTTATGCAGTTGAGCTCATTCTGGATCTCTCAGCCTTCTAGACCCAAACCACTGCAGTGAGGTGAGAACAGCTCGACATGAGCCTCCTGCAAATCATGCTGGAACAGCATCCTTCAACCTTGCTGTTCACAGGTGATGATTCTGAGCAAGCTGGGTGTTGCAGCACCAGTGCCCTGTGTCCTGATGACTGCAAGCCTGAGGTAAGTGACTGGTGTGGTGTTGTAGGGTTCTTTGCTGTGAAACAGGATGTCTGTATTAAGTTGCTCTGGATTGCTTTTGGATGACAACTGAGTATTAGAAGTTGAGGCTGAAGGGAAAACTGAAATAACTCAGTCTAACTATAATTTCTGAGTAATAAGAAAATATACATACATACATATATATACATATATATAACTGAGGTTCTCTAAAGTTTTCATGTCTGTCCCACACACTAATGCTAGTTTAAATCTCTGTTCAATCCCAGGTGAAGCTGAATGCATAGCTTGCTTTTAAAAACCTGATTCATTCATCCATGAGTTTTGGAAAGATGTGCCATATTCCTGAAGATTTGTAGGATGTCATCCTTTCTAACTACCTTATTATTTCAGGATCTACAAGTTCCTGTGCATATTTACAGTGCCAAGGGGAAACTAAATGTGAGAGAGAAGCCAGAGCACCTTAAGACATGTATTTTATCTGCCTAAACCCATGCACTGAGATTAGATTGGTAACATTGTACCTTCAACCCCTTTAGGTTGTGTCATTCCTGTGGAACTCACTGGAATTACTGTGTCATAAAACTGATGGGATGATTAGTTGGCTGGAAATTAGAATTATTTCTTTTTCTCATGTGCGATTTTACCAGTTTAAACATTTCTTTCCCCATATCAAAATTTCTTAGTGGGAGGAAAACTTATGAAGGACTTTGATTTGGAAGTATCCAAATATATTTCTTCAGTCTTCTTGTTCTAAATATGATACTTTAATATT